GCTCAGTAGAGCTAAGCAAATAACTTGGCTTTTTTTGGGGGGTGGGGTGGGGTGGGGGGAGGGAGATTGTTGTTTTTTCCAGTTCAGCGGCTGAACCAAAACATCCCCAGGAAAATGCAGATCGGTTCCAAAGGAAACCAAATGGTTTTCAATTTTTGTAACTGAATCAAAAAACGAGATTTTTTTCTTCGTTTTGGGTTTCTCACCCATTTTTTTTTAAATTGGCCAAATTTCAAAACAGAACACAATTTGAAACACAGTCAAACAAGACAATTCAAAACAGTCACAACAAAGTGCTGGCTTTTTTTTTTTTTTTCGGGTGAAACTATTCTTTGAATCCAAGCCAAATTTGTGAACAATCTGAACCCTGAAAAATGCATTTTTTGGCATGATTTCTATTGGCTGACAGCTCTAGTTCTCAGCGGTATTGAAAGTCAGGCCATTTATTCAAACACCTATATATGGATTTAGAGGCCTAACTTTAGGCTCTTATTTTTGAAAACCTTGGCCATACTCAACACAAATGATAAAAAACACTCGCAAAAGAAATCCCTTAATAATTACTGCTTTCCAACAGACTGGTCCCTTTAGCTGAACTATTACTTAATGTGCTTGAGCCAGCTTCTACTATAAAGAAATGGAGACACCCCAGGCAATGTTCACACACTGAGTATTGGAACCAGCTGCTGCAGAGCCACCTTAGGAAAAAAGGTTTCTCAATTTAATTGGGAAAACAGGAGGAAGCATAAATTTTACTGCCATTAATAACTTCAAGCAATCCTGATATGACTTTACCTCACCCTGACAGCTAGACATGTGCTTTTTGTTATGGTCTTTGCCACATCTGACCCCTATTGTTAGCTCACTTGATCAGGTAGGAAAATATATGCTTCTTTATACGATAAACGAGGCCTATTAAAATTGCAAAAAAGCTGCAGTAGTCTGTAAGAAGCTCCTTCCTCAAACAGATGTGTGACGCTCCATAATAAGTTCACTACAAAAAGCCTAAGCCAACTCATAATGAGAAAACATCTACTTTAAACATTCTGAAAAGAAACCTTTATAAAAGCAACAAAATGGTTTGGAAAACCCACAACCCATTGTTAATTAGAAACCAGGCTAGTTCTGGAGTTTGCAAACCGAAGTCCGTATATAACTCAGCCCAGTCGTGTAATGCATCATGAACTGGTCTTTCAAGACAAAATGTGAACTCTTTAGTACAGGGGTGAGGAACCTAAGGCTCGGGGGTGGCTTGCCTGGATTCAGATCCCAAGGCTTGGGGCTCACCCCCAGAATTGGGGAGCCTGTGCTAGCACTCCAACCTCCCCACTGTTCCTTCTGCGGGGCTGGAGCACACAAAAATCTACTAGCCTGGGTCCCCCTAATCTGTGGTGTGCAAGGGGAATATGGCGAGTGTCCTTTTGTTTCTCAGTCGGGGGCCAGTGAGGGTTTGGGGGGGAAGGTTATTTTGTTTTTGCTTCTCACTTGTGTATGGCCGCGCTTGATTTTTCTGTGGGTCAGTGGCCCCCAACCCAAAAAAGGTTCCCCACCTCTATTGTTCTTTGTTTTGCTCATTTAAACTTACGTATTAAACGAGAAAAAGTCACGTCACATTGGAAGATTTCAGAAAGGGCCTTGGACAGCAAGATACTGCCTGAACATCTGTCAAGGAAACCAGTTGTGACAAGCAAAGGAAGCAATATTTGACTTCTGAATGATCAAAGCTGGTTAAAGTTGTAGCCTGATGTGAATGGCTCTGGCCATCTCCACCACTAAGGAAAAACCAAACTGCCTCATTCAAAAAAAGGTCAAACTGTCAATGAACCCTAGCGGACTTCCTAAGACACGGTAGGTGACCTTGTTCCTCACAGCACGTTGACATAAGGTCTCCAGAGCACAGAGAATGCCTTCTTATCTAGAGTACTGGTACAAAATCTAGATCAAGAAAGGATTGTGTTTCCTAGTGGCAAAACAACCTAAAAAACCAATTTAGCGTGATCGGATCACTGAACCCATGAAACGTAGACATTCCATTATTCTGGACCAAACAAATAGCTTCTCAAACAACCCACCACAGGGGGACATATGCTTAAAGATTCTGGCATAAGATTATGAAAGTCTTAATTTCCTTTCAAATAGGATCACATGAAGCTGTGCAACAGATACGTACAGACACTGGTGAGACCTTTAGACCCAAATTCCTCAATATGACCCTTACACAGAGCTGCTGACTGTGCCTTATTCTATCTTGCAAAGTCAAAATGTGAAGGAAATTACCTACATTACATCTAGCACAAAACTTATGAATGCCGGCTGCTGAACTGGGGCTAGCAACAGCTAACTACGAAGTACGACAATTCGGTGACTCTAGTGCTCTGCCAGCAACCCACCAATTTTTCAGCTTATTCCAGTCACTTGTGTTCAGTCAGACCGAGATTTTAAAAAGTGACCAGGGGTTTTGAGTGTCTGAATTGAGACAATTTCATGGGACCTGATTCTCAAAAAGTGCTGAGCACGGGCTCTCTGAAAACCAGGCCCCTTTCGGGTGTTGAGCACCGCAAAAGTGGGGCACGCAAAGACATGACTCGCTTTTGAAAATACAGGCCTCAGCCCACAGCCCAAGGGAATGAACATTATGTACATGTTATAGCCAAACCCTCTTCTCTAAACTCCGCCACAGTGTCTGTACCACAGATCTCCGTGCTGGAGAGCCACCCTCCAAGCAGCTGTACACTTGCTCCTGCCGTAGCTTTCCTCTCTGCAGGGGACAAACAGCAGCCAATGCATATACTGGTAACGGACACACTGCGGCTGAGAGCAGGGCCGGGGACAGTACCGGGAGCAGGGCCCAAGGCTGTGGCTGGGGCCAGACTAGAGTTGGGTGACGCTCCCCCCACAAACTCCCGTTGGGATTGGCCTGGGTCCTGAACATTCCTCTGCACACCCTATTGTTCAGGGACCCCTGCTCTAATAGGATTAGAATGGACAGCAACATCTTTGTTCCTCATCAAAAGTTGGCCACCAATCCCACTATCCATGCAGTCTCCATTCCACACCCAGGCATACAACTCAATTCATTAGGGTCCAAATTCACTAGGACTCACATCAGTGCATAGCTTCCATAACCCTCTTGATAATCTTCATCCAAAGAGATCTGACAACGCAGACACTGGATTGCAAGTGGCAAGAGAGGATTTCTTGATCAAGACCGACAATTGCTTTTTGAAGGAAGCTGATACCTGGTACTTCCACAGCTCAATAGGAACGAGGCTGACCCAGGGACAAAAGAAAACATACCTAGAAGTGCAGTGAGTTTGGGAAGCAGCCCAACTTGGACCATCTTGTTTCTCAGGCCCGTGTCAAAGGACAGGTTCAGGAGAAGTCGAAGGGTGATATTCAGGAGGTCTTCATGCTCACACGGGACCATTTTCACCAGTTTTTCAACAATATCCATTTCAACCTGCATGAGAAGCACGAGACGTCACCACGCCCACCACCTACCCAAATTTCTACTTATACATGAAAGCAAAAGTAAAGCCAATTGTTAAAGGTACCACCATGTCTCCATTCAAAGAGGCTGCACTTTCCAAAATTTGGAGCTAAAATGTTCTAGGTCTGGTCCCTGCCTAATTATGATTTTATTAAACAAATATTAGGCTAACAGTTTCAGCCATCTTTGGAGTACTAGAGGAATGGGGGAGATTTCGATAGCTTCTTGTGCAAGAGTTATTCCTCTCCCCACGAGAAATAAGCCCTTTTGCTCAAGAACGCAGTGTGGATGGGCAACAGGGGTTTCTTGCGCAAGAAACTCCTATGGCTAAAATAGCCATCAGAGCTTTCTTGCACAAGAGAGTGTCCACACTGCCATGGACGCTTTTGCGCAAAAGCACATGGCAGCGTGGATGCGCTCTTGTGCAAGAATTTTTGTGCAGAAACTCTTGCACAAAACAGTTCTTGCTCAAAGAGTCTGCAGTGTAGACATAGCCAGGTAGATTAGTTAAATGATCACACCATTAGGAGTTTTGCCCAAGCAAAACGAGAAAGCCTGAAGCAGCTAAATTTGGTTCATTATGTCTCCCAGGGTTATTTAAGACAGCTAGAAAGACAGAAAACTTGCACGTTTTAGAATCCCATCTTCCTCACTGTATGAGAAAAGTAAATTAAAGTTTCCTCTAAAGTATTGTGTACTATGAAAAAAATGCATGTGAAGATAGCCAAGCTAAGCTGTATGGTCTTTTTTAAAAATGTTCAAGGCTATCCAAAAAGCCCAAAATAAAATAAACACTAATTCTGTTTTGTTTGTTTCCACGCTAAATCAAATGGAATGCAGAAAGTGCGCCAGCCAATCAGCTGGTTGGATAGCTAATCCTTATTGTCCTAGTAAGGTGCTTTAGGGAAGGGCATGTTTATAGATTGATCTCAAGAGCACATGACTTCACCACCTTAGAAATACATTCCTTGGGGTTCTTACTTGTTATGGAATAGATACACATATACCAACAAAGGAAACTGCCTTATATGTAATCATATAAATACCCAAAAGTGTGAGCGAGACATTAAGCACCAGCTGTCTACAATTCTCAACTCATTTTTGTGGCATTTTTACACCTTTCAACGTCGGATCCAAAATGCATTTGAAGCAATCGTTAAGTGTCATGATCATTAGCCCCATTCAGCAGACTGGTGAACTGATGGCCACTGGGCCAGTGACTTGCCAGTGTCACAGAGGGGTTTGGCGAAGGAGGGGGTGGCTATATTTGTTTGCTCTTTTACAGCCAACTGAAAAATCCTCATAGCCCATGTTCCTAAGGGCCTTACATTTCTTACCACCCTCCCAGGCTTACGTTCTAGGAACCAGCAGCATGGAGCACTCGCAGGCTGCTTGCCACTTCAATGTGGAAGGAGAGTTGCCTCTGAGGATCCTGCTGGCCTAATGGGAAGGCAATAGCCCAGTCTAGCAGCCTGCTCAAGGCTATACAAAGCTCCTTTCCCACGGCAACATGATGTGGAGATGAATAGCGGCTTGTCACAAAGGGGTCTGTGGCAGGCTGGTTTTGGGGTCCTCCAAATGGTTGGCTAAATACCCAGCTTATACCAATCTTTGCAGTTCCTCTCGTTGCCCCCATAGTTACATGAATTTTGCTATGATGAGGCTGGCTCCCTATGCCATTCTAGATCCGCAATGGGCCAACTTTGGCCCAGAGGCTGCATCCAACCCAGCAGGCCAGACTTTATGCGGCCCGTGAACTCCCACCATGCAGCGGGTACAGGGGCTTTTGGCACTACTCCTCAGCCCCCAAATTCACAATTCCACCATCGTCAACCCACTCTCCATCTCTATAACATGGGCCCCTAGAGCCCACCCCAGGAACATCCTTTACTGACCCCCCGCCTATGCCACACCCCAGGAGTCCTCCAGACCCCTTGTGGCACACCATTCAATTTCCATGCATAGATGCAGCCGGCAGGCCGAAAAGTTTGCCCTCCCCAGTTCACGATGTAGTTGTCCACAGTAGTTCGCATTGGGTTTACAGTAGCCCCTTCACAGTAAACATCAGGGCTGCATTGGGGTGGGGCTCCAAGAGGCTTATTTCACTTTCATTGGAATCTCGGACACCCTCTGACCTCATGAGCAGCCGCCATGGCATTGCTGCAGATCGCTAGAACACCTACCATGTCATTCTTGTTCTCCATAAAAATGCTAAGTTTCTTCAGGAAAGACACCACCAGAATAAGCAGCTCAAAGTTCTCTCGGTCCAGGGCTTTCACTAGCATGTGGACAATGTTCTTGTTCCTCATCTTCAGCTCGTCAGCAGCAGATAAAGAGCCACTAGCACCCAAATCAATCATAACATTAGGTCAAAGAGACTGGAACGATGTCAATCTACAGTCAATGCTTAGGACGGGATTTTCAAAAGCATTCAGTGCTTTTAAATAGGGTTTGAAACACTTATCACCATCAGCAACATTTTGTTTAAATTCCAAGGAAAGTGTTAAAAAAAAAACTAGAACGTTTCCCTGTGGTGACTGCAACCCAAACATTTCAGCAGAATGCTAAATGCATGTGAACTGAAACGAACTAGAAACTCCCAAACATTTCAGCAGAATGCTAAATGCATTTGAACTGAAATGAACTAGAAAAGGCTGTATAGTAGGCAGTTATGCCATTTTTTTATTGACTAAGCCAAGAAAAAGAAAAACAAAGAACAGCATTAACACCAAAAATAAAAACAGGGGCCTATTCTCCACCATTCTGCACCTTGCGTGGACACTTATCGCTAAGAACAGCAGGATTAGAGAGTTACCATTCTGATCACTTTAGACAGCTGCACATGACTGTACAAGTAGTGGAGAATCAGGCCCTACATTTTGACAGATCTCAGTTTTAATAATTATCTACGTTACTAACAAAAATCTAAGACATTTTTGGAAACAAGTGATATTTTTAATCTGCGTGTTCTCTTCATTTAGCTCTCTCCCAAGCCGTCTGCAGATCTGCATGCCTGCCTGCCGGACCTCACCATGTTTGCTAGCTGCGACATGGAGACGCTGCCTAAGCACTCACGCTGCCTGCTTCGAGAGGTCAAGTACTATCAGCAGTTTTTCCCTGAACGCTGCAGAACTTGAGATTTATAACGATGAAAGTGTAAGATTATTACCAAGATGGATTTTCACTTTTTACAAGTGAACTTAGCACTGGTGTGAAATGCAAGGCAGAGCATCTTGGAAAAAAGAACTATTCCGTGCACAGAACAGCAATAGTGCAGCATAGACAACTGCTACGCAGGCATTTCGCACTGCTCCCTGCCAACGAACCTCAACCCCTAACAAATTCATTACCTGTATGGCAAAGGCTTATCTCCCTGGCTCATTGGGGGGCTTCTGTAAGGAGAATACCAACAAAGGGGGTCATTGGTACCCCTTGTGTTGGTAAAACTGGGTTAAGAATCATCTAGCACGTTCCGAAGAGAGAACTCGCAAAAGAGCAAGTAGCACTGACAAGACATGTAAGTTACTCTACATACAAATTAAAAGGCTAGATCCACAGCTCATACCAACAAGGCCTCTCTATTGATTTCAGCAACACTCTGCTACTTTGGTGAAGATCTAGTCCTTGCACGCTTCCAGCGCTATTCAATGGCACAAGCAGTATCACCGGCAGCATGTAGTGCTCTCACATACACGCATCAACGTTCTCTCGGTTTAAAGCATTGCCACAGCCATAGAATGCAGACTTGGTATTTTTCTGGTTTGTTAGTAAACATCCTCCACACTAGTTAAAAGTTCCCAGGAAGTCCTGACCCTCCACGCTGGGACAAGATCCCCTTGATTGTTGCTTATGTTCGTACCTCGCAGCAGCTGCTCCTGCTTGACCACCAGCCCCTGGTACTTTTTATAGGTTTTCTCGTAGTCCTTTTTCAGGGTTTGATTCTCAGGATCTTCATCAAGTAAATAACTGGAGTTAAGGAGTGTATGGTAATACAGCAAGAGACACAGGGAAATTACAGAGTGAGGACAAATATTAATCACAGATGTTATCTTATCAGCAGCGGGGAGACAACATGATCTGTGTAACAGTGACTAAGAAGAGGTTGCCCAGGAGACAATAATTCTATTAAGATGTGGTCCATGTTATGAATGGGTTTAGGAATCAACGGTGTGAAGGGTTCTACTAGTAATAAAAATGTCCCATAAAAGCCATACTACTGGTATAATTTAAAAAAAAATAGCAATAATTTTAACCTAAGAACAACAATCCCTTCTCCAGCCCAAATTTTTCACTTTCAGTTTTCATCTGTTCTAGTCCTGCAACTAGATTTTGTGCTCTTACTCATATGCTACATTAAACACGAGTTACTGCACATATATTGTGTGTCAACTGCTAGGACTCAGACAAGCGGAAAGTTACGCAGGCACCGAGAGAGGATATCAGCTTTCTTCTTCTTGGTGAGTTCCTCCTGCCAGAGCTCATGCCTCTTCAGCTCATGATCTATGATGTTCATACATAGAGCTCCAATTTTGTAGTGTGTGATTAGTCCATGAAACTGAGAAAAACTATGGTAAAAAAGATATGTAGTGCATGAGAGAATTAAACCCACGATTCTGTGTTCAGAACTGGGATAGTAAGATCCCAAAGTATTGCACAACATGACTGGTTTTTCATTAGAGCTAGTTGAAAAATTTTAAAATGCTGTTTTGTCAAACTAGAAGCATTTTGAGCGAACGTGTCAATTTTGATGAGACCTTTGATAGGAATAAGTCAACTCGTTTCATTTTGATATAGAATTCTACTTTGTCATTTCAAAATATTTTATTGAGATTTTAATAGTTCATAATTTAATATGTCTAAAAATGACAAAGTCAAAAAATTATACTATTTAAAATGATTTAATGGACATGAACCACATTGTTTTTAAAATGTCATTCCATAGGAAATATGGAACAAAAAAAATTTGGATGTGTCAGATTTGCTCTTGGAACAAAAACTCCATTTTTCTAACCAGCTCTAGGTTGCAAGCTATACAATTTGTTTTGCCAGCCCACCTTCACAAAAAGGGAGGAGGTAACGATCCACCTATGTGGCAACTTCTTTGTCACCGATGTGCTAGATGTATTGATGCTGTAACATTACTAACAATTGGACATTTCAATTGACTAGAGTTTTGATTACCGTTTTCACTGATGAGGTAGTTTTGTGGGAGGAAAGAGAAATACCAAAGAATCCAATTGAAAGGAGTTACTTAGGACTGGGACTCAAAAAATAGGTTCTGTGTTCCTGGCTTTGCTGTGGTCTATGTCCTCATGTGTTTACTTTCTATGCCTCAGTTTCCCCACCAACTGTGATATTTCTCAATGAACATGCTTGAAGATGCAGTTCCAGCTATACTAGAGGAGAAAATGAAAATTCAAGGCAACTGATCGAGTAAGCTCCTCATCTCTGTGTATAAATTCTTGTACTTACCTTGAAAAGCAAAAGAAAATATAAATTATATTAGTAGCAAGTTCCACACTTTGTTTCCAGTCTTCTCTCAGCACTCTGGCTAATGCACCCAGTGCAGTTTCTAAGAAAACAAACAGGATTCAGATGAACATCTGTAATGCCTCTCTCTCTGACTTGCTGGACCTAAGCATTTAAACACACCTTTTACTGGACCCTGACTGTTTTCTGCCATGAGATTTACAGAAGCCTCTTATGCTAACATGCCATACTGTATGGGATTCTCCATCTGAGGACTGTGCTAACATACGAGGATGTGCTTTGATTCAGTGATCCTCCACTCACCAATCCAGAATGGGATGGAAAGCATTGAGGCAGAGAACATCATAACCCTAATGGGATATTCAAAGGGAACTATGAAAACTCCTTTAGGTCCTTTGGTAGTGTTGTGACAGCACACCCCGTTACATTAACAGCTCCCAACCAGTGTTCCCTGTAAGTTGAGTGCTTGGGTTGTGCCCAGGAGAGATTCCAGCACCACCCAGCTGATTAGCAGAGAGCCAACAGCCGGCAGCATGTGTTTGTACCGATGGTGCACATCTGCACATGCCTCAGTGCACAGAACAAAATTTATTCCACCCATAAATGGAAAAAATTAGAGGGAACATTGATCCCAACCTCTTTTGGTGTTAGGCCTCCTGCTCAGGAGAGTTATATCAAACTCCTTGTCCAAGCACCCCATTCTCAGACAACACCCCAGCAAGGCTGCCACCTCACCTGTGTCAGCCACTCCTCCTGTTTTCTTCTCTCACCCTGACCGTTAATTTTCCAGCCATTTTCATTCTCTATCCTGTTTTCCCCCTCCCCATCCCAATACTCTCACCCCTTCCATCTTTTCTCCCAATCCATTCCATCCTCCCTCTTCCATCCAATGCTAATTAGGCTGATGAATGACAAAGGGAAGTGATTGGCTCTGACTGAACCTGACTGCCAATCAGATTCTTTCAAGCAGTATGAATTGCCAATCCGTGCAAGAAGCAGGTGAGGCCACGTAGGCCCCTGCCACCAGAGTGACCGCATTTTCATTAGCAGGGTCACCATTTGACTGCCTGATCCTTTTCTGCGTCAGTCTCTCAGACCAACCCTGTTTTCCGACCTGGGGTGGGCTTGCTGGCTGGAGGACATACTAGGGCATCAGTGATGATGCCGTTTGATGAGACATCAGGGGAGAGAAGGGCTGGCTGGGGCGGGGACCATTAACTCAGATTGGCTCATCTATTGTGTTTCTTTAGAGGGAAACTTTTGAGGGCAAGGAATGCCTTCCACTATAGCTCTCTTCCTTTTCTCCTTCCCCCGCTCTCCACGCACACAGCACCTCACACACTGTGGGTGCTTCAGCAGTGTTGAAATAGAAACAGTTAATGTTGTATTCAGGCCCCACTTTGTCCTAAGAGCAAACGAATACTAGAGCCCCAATCCACCCCAAAAGACAGACAGGGGAGTCTCTCCAAGCAGAGAAATAGATCCCTAGAGATGGGATAAAAACAGCATAACTTTATAAGAGAGGCTGGAAGTTACCATTGAGCAGCAATTCTTCCAAATTATCAGGGTTCCTGGCGAGTTGTAGGATAAGGGCAGAGCCACGCACCTTATCAGGAATATCCTCGTACAGTAACTCAATGTACTCATCCATGTCATTGATATTGGCCACTTCATCAATCTGAAAGCAGCAAAGACAGAGCTGGGCTTTGACACAGCGAAAAAGGAACCTACTCAACAGGCAGAAAAAATGATGTTACTTTGCAAACAAAGGAGGAAAAAAAGTGTAGTTACGTTTGAAGATGTAAATGACAACTCAAACCAAACACCATGCACAGAATCATTGCTACCGACTGCCCAGAACACACAAGGGGATTTCATTACAAAAACAACCAGCAGTAAGTAGTAGTTTTGTTTCCTCTAGCCCCATGTTCCAGAACCTCAGTCATAAGACCATTTAAGTATATAACCCAGATATAAATGTGCAAGAATTTTACCAGTTACTGAAAAGACTTTTCTTATTTAGGATTTTTAAAGCAAGGTCTTTAATAAAAAAATATTCAATATTTTACATCTTTATTTTTTTCCATAGTATATAAAACAGTTCCATAAAAGTAAAGGTCTCTATTTAATTTCCTTTCAATTCTAGCTTAGATTCTTACCTCCATTCCTTCAAAAGGGGGTGGATCTTTCGGTTTACTAGATTTCTCTTTCTTTTCTGTAGTGAAAAAAAGATAGTTCTCATTTATGTTGTGCATATTCACTGACAACAGCATATTTAGTATTATCATAGTATCTAGGAACCCCAAAATGGAAAATAAGAGCTAACAATATAAGTGTATAACAAAGCTCAAGTTTTGTTTAGCTCAGCATAAGGAGGCGTTCATGAGAAAATTCTGCCATGACCTTTTGACACTTAGAATAATGTACTAGAGGTAGAAGTTGAGGGTGTTTTTTTTTTTTAAATGATGCAGCTTTAAAAGACCAACATTTTTAACTGCATCAGAACTGGAAAATTAAGAGTTAAGCCCCCTTTTTTAATATATGCCTTAGAACAGAGTCTCATCACATGATTACAAGATCACTATCATGTAGGATTGGATCTTCATGATTCCATTTTCCTCTATGCAGAGGGCCACCAGAAAGCTTAGGTCGATGTATATATGCCACAAGAGTAGAAAACAACAGCCTTCATTCAGTAGGATATTTGTTTACTCGGGATACTGTAAAGTAGGCCTTGATTCAGCAAGAGAGAGAAGACCAATTGATATCCATGGAACTCAAATACTGCTCAACTGCTTTGCTGAACCAGGCCCAGCACTAGTTCCTGTGAAGTGTGCATGATGGTAAAGAGTGGAAACAGTTATGAGTAAAGCATTCTAGGATTTTCATCTCTGACAAGAAGCATTTGTGCGGGACAGACAGAAAGTTTCCGACTTTCTCTGGGGAAGGCCTTGAAGCTACGGCTTCATTCTCATCAAGGCCTGCCCATAAAGCAGGGCTGGGCAAGTTGCAGCCCGGGGGCCGGATCCGGCCCACCTAACACTTTGGTCTGGCTGGTGGGCTGCATCTGGCCATTTCTATTTATATCCTGCTGTCCAGGCCACTGAATTTCCAGGTAGTGGCTCAGGCAGCAGGATCCTATTGAAATGGCTCATGGCGAGCCCTTTGTCGTGTTTTTAATTCAGAGCCTCTGGCCCCAAACAACTCTGGGGAGAGGCTAGTCCTCAACTCTGCCCCTTCTGGGGGAAAGGGGGAGCCAGCCTGTGACCACGTACCAAAATTCATTAAGTGACCCCCCCCTGAAAAATTATTGCCTGCCCTTGGCGTAAAGGCTGTTGCGTCCTTTTATGGAGTGACCTGCTCCCACACGTTGACATATCAGACCAAAATAGACATCTCTGTGGAGCAGGAAGAGCACTTTTTAAATCCAGTATTCCGGCTCATTCTGTGGTTTGGCAGGAGACCTTTGGACAAGTCATAACTCTATACATAAAAAAGCATGCAAACATTAAAGGTAACTGACCAAGGTAACACACTAGGCAACAGCGAAGGGTCTGTTCTGTTTCTTTATAAAGAAGGCCTGAAAGGTTAGGGGCAGAGAGGTTGGTTGGTTGGTTGTGTTTCAAGAAAAGCTTGCTGCTTGTTTGTTTGTTTTTAAATCGTTACATATCCTCTCAATGTCAAGTGGCTTTTTTTTGCTGACTGTCTACTGGAGAACCCAGAGAAAAGGACTAGGCATTCCCTCAAGCCTTAGGTGAAGAGATGAAGTGTTGAAGATTTATTTGAAAATAACCAACCCTTTTCTTCCTATTCTTTGCCAGGCATTTGAGTTCAGGGAAATTGAGAGAGTTGTAAACAATCTGAACAAAATCAGCTCCCCTCTCAATCTGGATTTCACTTGCTTTGAATCCATGATGTCAAAGTTGTAATTCTCAGGACACCCACCTACAGAATTTTCCAGCATACTATGGCTAGACAAGATCTACATTTCTAATACACAACAGGAAGCAAAGTAGCATTTAAAAAATAACTGAATTTCAGGTCTTCTTTAGAAAGCATAAAAGAAAAAACTATAAACTGGCACAAGCCCAGTATTTTTGCTTTTGCACTGAGAACTATACACTCCACTAAGTGGTGGCCACCAAAGAAGACAGCAACAGAGAGTAAAGAAGACCTAACACTGTGCCTATTTCATGAAAAAACTGGTTTTACAATCACACCGGAGATTATAGGGGGATTGGAAACTTTTATACCTTCTGTTACAGAACATGGGTTTGTAGAAGTAGGTCTGCAAGCCCCTAATAATTAACTGCTTTAAAAAGGAGTCCAGGACTTGGGTGGAAACTTTTCCAGGACTTTTTGCCTTCTTTGAGCCTTACCAAGAGACAAAGCTGAGAATGCTAGAATTCTTTTAACATTATTCACTCTCCCTGGGCCTCAGGTAAAACAGAGGCTTAAATAAAGCTAGGATGTATAATACAGCCCTGTCAGCAGACAGAGTGAGGACTCATGATACTATAAAGAACCTGTTGACTCTGCAATTTAATTGGCATTGAACTGTAGCTTCCTAATAAAGACATTTGAAAGCAGCTCGCCTATGAAATGTTTGTAACAAAAAAGAGAAGAGTTTGTGATTTGCATGAAAATAATTACATCGTCATCTTTATAGCACTAACCTAAATAATCACTGCACCATTTAGAACAGGAGACTTCAACTGAGAAACAAAGCGAAAGAGAAGAATCAATTTTAAGTTTCTAAGTATGTTTTGAATTTTGATTAATCAAAGACAACTTTTTCCCACAAGTTTGTGTCAGTTCTTCCAGGGACAACATAAAACACACACTCCCCATCTCTCCTTGGGTTTCTGAAGATCAGGGAAAGTAGCATCTGAACCACAAATCCCAAAACACAGAGCACGGCTACAACGGCTACATTCCAGCACCCCACTGATCCAGCTCTCTCTCCTGCTTACCTTTCCCAGAAGAGGCATCTCTGCGGTTCTGCAGGTAGTACAGCAGCTGTTCCACCTCTGCTAGCTTGGAGGGGTGAATGAGCTTGCATTCCTCCACCACCTTTCGAGCCAGGGAAGCAACATCTGTGTTTGCATTAAGACTCTTCAGCCGAATGCTGCAAGACACAGGTCAGATAGTTTTCTTCCCAGGTGAGGAAAGAATTTTGTGTCTTCAACGCTTCGATTTCAACTTACACAGTCCTGAGTTTGACAAGGCTCAAGGCATCTGAAGCTCATGCTACAGTTTGGAACAGCTGACATCAGAAAGCAGTGGCACCCTGAAGTTCAAAACAGCAAGCAAATTGCCTGTCTGGCAAATTGCCTACATAGGGTAGGACTATTTTTCACCAGCTGATGAAATAGTAGTCTTAGAGATGGCTGCCTTAGCAAATGCCTCATATTTATCCAAGACCCAGCAGTCTGTTCTCGGAAAGTAACATCCTAGAATACAGCATAGAAAATATACTTTTCATAAATAAAATCTGCTGTCAGTATTGATTGTTCAGTAGTTTCCTCACACTGGATTAGCCAGCCATGGATAGAAGTCTAGTTAGCCATAAAGTATGAAAAAAATCACAGATCATACCAGGGGAGAGAGCAAGCATGAGCAGATATCTGTAAACTCAGACCAGGAGGTGAAAAGAAAGCATTTCTGTTGAGTTCTAGGTGGAATAGATTCATTGCAAACCAGATGAACATTTTAATGTCTTCAAAAATCCACAATAGTAATATTTTCTTATATGATGAAAATGTTTATTTTTTCTGGTTCCTTATTCTAAAAATTACCACCACACACCCACACCCGGCAGGATCTTTCAGAAAAACAAACATCACCTTCTGGCAAAAAACAGACTTGGAAATTTTCACCATTAAGATGAAAGTCTAAGGAAGTTGCTAGAAACTGAAAAGGGGCCTTTCACAATAGAAATGCTTAGGCAACCTTAACTACAGATACTTTAATTAAATTGCCAACATCAACTGGACATATGCACGCTCCAAATAAGGGAGGCAGTGTATCCCAATGGGCAGAGCACCAGAGTAGGCATCAGAAAATCTAGGTTTTATCCCAAGCATTGCTCTTGACCACTGTGTAACCTGGAGTAAGTAACTTCCCTCCTCTCCGCCTCAGCTTCCCCAAACACAAGACAGGGAGAATGATCATTATTTTCCTTAAAGTACCTTGAGATATACAGATGGAAAACACTAAAGTTTATTATTACAATGAATGTGTTACAACACCACTGCAAACAACTATCCATACATAGTATCCCCAGACTCACTAGTAGTTTAATAAAATATTTTGAAGATAGAAAAAGTATTGGTAGCATATGAAACAATATAAGAGAATACTAATTTTAAGAACTCAGTCTAGAAATCCAGGAAACTGTAACTTTAAGAAACAACACCAAGAGCAAGTCATGAGCTTACATTTTTTGACACTCCTTGCGCTCCCCCAGCATGGGGTCCCCCATTTCTCCAAGAATGGTTGCTTCCACTTCATAATGAACAATAAGGGCTTTTTCAGAGGGATGTACATCGATGTTACCTCCTTTCACCTTCCTGCAAGACAGAACAATAAATCCATGACACAGTCCCAAGCAAACGAAATATCTGGGAAAACAGGTTAATGAGAATTGGACATTTCCGATCAAGCAGTTTGCATGACAGACTGGTTCTACCCACATTGCATAAACCCAGTCTTGGCCCTCTTTGCATTAGCGCATGGTCTCTTTTTCCCACATTCATCTTGCACAAGCAGGGTGCAATCTTAGCACAGTCTATCATTTCTAGTATGTGCAAAAAATAAATACAAAGAATGGTGACTCAGTTATAAGAGGATGTGCCTTTGAGTTTCAAAGCTCCTATCTACCTAAATAAAGCCTATACTAACCAAAACTAAGAGGGAAGAATCATTGAATCCGAACGATATGTCTCACATAAAAGTCAGAAGATCAGAAAAGGAGTTTAATTTCCTAAATATGCCTGTTTTAAGTCTGCATTCCTATCTCACAAATCTCTTCTGCTAGAGCACAGATTTCTACAGTACCTACTTTTCCAGAGCCTGAAAGAGGAAGTTACTCACCGTGTGCAGTAACGACAGTTCTCCGAGATGCGTCCCCCTGTGGGTGCTCCACTGTTGGTGACTTTGTAGCAGTACTTGAGAGCACCTAGAAGGCGGGTCTCGGAGTCATGCTTTAACAGCTGTTGAAAGTACTGCTGAGGCTACTGATGAATCAGTAGTCAAATGATGTACAATTGCGTAATGCTTCATAAAAGTAGACAATCATGTGGCTGCCCAGCAGATGTCTCGAAGATGGACCCCTCGTAGGAAAGCTGGGGATGTCGCTACAGCTCTAGTGGAATGAGCCCTGGGTGTTACTGGAAGTGGCTTATCCCAGATGGCATAACACTTGTTGATACACAAAACTATGAGGTTCGAGATATGTTGAGATGAGTGATTTGCCCTTGGAGCGGTCCACTAGAGACACTAGCAAGCGTTGAGACTTGAGGAAAGCTCAAGTTCTACCTACGTAAAAGGTGAGTGCTCTACGCACGTAGAGAGAGTGCAGGGTTGCCTCCCAAGACGAGGCATGTGGCTTGGGATAAAAGGACAGGAGAACGATTGGTTTGTTGACATGGAACTTGGGACACACTTCGGGAATGAAGGCTGGGTGAGGCCATAGAACAACGCTGTCTGTGTTAAAGGTAGTATACGGTGGTACCGCCATCAGAGCTGCAAGCTCACTGACCCTATGGGCAGATGTAATGACAAGTAGAAAAACCACCTTGACTATGATTATTGAGAGTGGTGAAGTAGCCAATGGTTCAAAGGGTGATTGAGTAAGGGTGTTCAGAACTAGATCTAAGTTCCACGGTGGTGGTGGAGGCCTGTGAGGCGGATTAAGTTTGAATAACCCTTTGAGGGACCTCTTGGTTGTCAGATGTACAAACACAGACGTGCCATCTATGGAATGTCGGAAGGCTGTGATTGCTACAAGATGTAATTTAAGGGAGGCGATGGCTAATCCTGACTGCTTTAAGGAGAGGATGTATTCAAGATTTCATGTAGGGGCGCTGCGTATAGGTCCAAGACGGTTAGTAGTGCATCAGGAGGTGAACCTACGCCACTTGTGGAGGTAAGGTGACCGCATGGTACCCTTCATGCTACGTTTCATGACTTCTAACTTGCGTAGAACAGAGATCTTCGGATTCGCAGAACCAACGAGGAACCAGGCTGTCAGATGCAGGATGTGAGGCTGGGGGTGCAGGAGGGTCCCATGGTTCTGGGTCAACAGATCACCAAGTTTGGGTAGGGGATATGATGGGTGAAGAGACATTCGACAGAGAAAGGGTAACTACATCTGACAAGTCCAGGAGGGAGCTATGACAATCACCTTGGCTCCATCCCTGTTGATCTTTTCGGGGACGCTAAGGATGAGTGTGGAGTGTGGGGGGAAAAGGCATATGGAAGAGGGTCTCCCCAGTTGAAGGAGAAAGGCATCTTCTAGGGATCCTCGACTAATCCCCGATCTGGAACAGTAACGTTGGCACTTTGAATTTCTGTAGGAGGCAAAGAGGTCTAGTGGGGGACGCCCCAACAGCGGAAGATATGTTGGAGAATGTCGTGTCAAAGTTCACACTCATGGTCCTGTGGAAAGTGTCTGCTTAAAGAATCTGCAGCATCATTGTTGATCCCAGGTAAGTAAGAGGCGATTTATGTAATACATCGTGGCAATGTTGTCGGTAAGTATTCTGAGAGTGGTGTCACAAATGTGCATCTTGAAGTGCTTGCAGGTGTTGAAAACTGCCCTGAGCTCCAGGATGTTTATGTGAAAAGTTACTTCTCGGGATGTCCATCATCCCTGCGCAGACAAATCGTTCATGTGAGTATCCCAAACCAGGAGGGAGGTATCTATAGTAATGTGAAGGGACAGTTGAGGCTCATGAAATGGGACTCCTGCAAGAAGGTTGCGTGGCTCAGTTCACCATTTGAGGGAAGTTATCACAGCAGATGGAGGAGTGACTCATTTGTGGACGTGGCACTTTGTGGGAGTATACATAGATGCCAACCAATGCTGGAGGCAGTGGAAGTGCAGTTGTGCATGGTGGATTAAGCATGTTGTGGCAGCCATATGACCCATGAGTTGTAGGCACATACAAGAACTGGAACTGTGGGACTCATAGTAACCTCCGAGACAAGGTCTTGGATAGCTTGGAACCTCTGAATAGCTAAGTAAGCCTGTGCCATGGTGGAATCGAGGCGACCACCTATAAACTCCAAGGTTTGCGACAGCTCAAGCGTGGATTTCTGTTGTTGACCAGACCCAGTGATTCGAATGTCCGCCTTGCTGTAAGGCACGTTTCCATTTACAATGGACCCGTTATGAGGCAGTCGTTGAGGTAAGGGAAGATTATAATGTCTTGTCATCGTAGATGCACTGCCACTACCGCAAGTGTTTTCAAAAACACTCTGAGTGCGGAGGAAAGGCTGAATGGTAGTACTTGATATTGGAAGTGCTCTGTGAGCTGAAGAAATTGCCTGTGAGTAGGATGGATCATGATGTGGAAATAAGCATCTAGGAGGTCAAGGACTGTAAACCAATCCCTGTTGTCTAACACTGGGATTATAGGTGCAAGAGTTACCATTTTGAACCTCTGCTTTTGAAGGTAATGGTTGAGTTTCCGGAGATCGAGTATAGGTCTCCAACCTCCTGTTTTTTTGGGGTGAGGGGAATAGTGGGAATAGAAGTCTTTGACGCTGAACTCGTTGGGTACCCTTTCCACTGCTCCAATGGAGAGGAGTCAACAGACTTCCTGTTTTAGTGGGTCCTCGTGAAAAGGGTCCCTGAAGAGGGATGGGGTGGGTGGGGAGGTTGGAGGTAGTGTTACGAAAAGGATGATGTAGCCGGGTGAAACGATCTCAAGAACCCAACGATCGGATGTGATGGTAGACCAACAATGGTAAAAAGGTCTGAGGTGGTGGTGGAAAATGGGAATAGCACGATCGTGTGGGTGTGAAACAGGAAGGATTTGTGAGCCCTCAATCAGGAAGTCAAATCTGCTGTTTTTGTTTGATGGCTGGTTAGAGGTGCAATTATTTTGAGTATGCCTCCTCTGGGTTCTCTGTCTTGTCTGCGGTTGATCAAAACCATGCTGATGATATCGCAAGTATGAGAAGTTATGTCATCTCTGATAGGATGTGTACCGGTTGCACCAGTATGGAGGTGTGTACATACCGAGGGTATGGAGAGTGGTTCTGGAGTCCTTGCTTGAGTGGAGGACCTCATCAGTCTTTTGTCGAACAGGGAGGTCCTCTACTTTGTTTTGAAGCTCTCATGGGTCTCCAGCGATTTGTAGCCCCGAAGCTCTTCGCAAGACTATAGCAGTAGCCGTAGAATGAGCTGCTGTGTCCACCACATTAGGTGCGATCTGGAGGCCCATCCTAGCAGACATGTAGCCTTCTTGAACAATGGACTTCAAAATCGGTCTCTGAGTCTCAAATGTTCCATAAGTGAAGTAAGCTTTGTGTAACTGGCAAACTCATGGTTGGATAAGAGAGCAGAATAATTGGCAATGCGAAGTAGAAGTGTTGAAGAGGAGTATACCTTTCTGCCAAAAAGGTCCACGTGTCTGCTGCCTTATCAACTGCAGTATTTTTCTACTGAGGAGTCTTGGATCTGTGTTGAGCCACATCCACGACTAGGAAGTTGGGATGAAGGTGAGAAAATAAAAATTCTGTGCCCTTGGCCAGGTCAAAGTACTTCTTATCTGTTCTCTTATTGGCTGGAAGAGCAGAGGCTGGGGTCTGCTAGATCTCCTCGGCAGCCTCCATAACGGCCTCATCTATTGGCAGCACGATCTTGGCTCATTGGAAGAGTTGAAGGTTTTTAAGAAGGTGATACTGCTTCTCCTGAAGCAGTCAATTGGACCTCTTGGCTAGTGGCCACTCTCAAACAAGTCCTGGAATTGTCTGAGGTCGTCCATGGGTGACATGTCCCCTGGGATAACAGCTTCATCCAGAGCCAAAGAGGACTGGTCTGTAGGGGAAGTATTGGACTGCTGCTCCTCTAGTTCCGATCATTAGACCTCTTCCAGTTCAGAACGATGTGAGGAAGTATTGGACTGCTGCTCCTCTAGTTCCGATCATTAGCCCTCTTCCGGTTCAGAACGATGTGATGGAGGGGAAGAACTCTGAGGTGGTGGAGTGCGTTGTCTGGGAGCAGGTACGGCAGAAGAAGCATATCTATGTCTGGGAGAGGACCTGTAGCAGCAAGGTGACCAGTGTCTAGAATATGGAGGTGGTGGTAGCCAGTCATCCAACGGGGTGGGTGGTTGTGGTAATATCTGTGATGATCGTAGTATGACTGCCTAGGGGAGAAGATACTCCTATGCTCCTCACAATACGCTGCATGCCCTGATAATGTCGGAGAATGAGGAAGTATTACTGAGCCCCCCAAAGAGGGAGGAGGAGAAAGAGTCATATATATCAGCTGAGTGTTGGGATGAAATTCACGCTCTGGTGCCGGAGGTAGTGGGGACAGCGATCTCTGGTATCTTCT